GCTAATTGGATGTAGTCACTGTTTGGCCCACAATTGTTCCCTAGCTCCTGAGATTTCTCAACTGAAGGATATCAGACAAGAAGGGGCCATCCAAGCAGTGTTCATCATGAACCAGCTGGAATTCACAAGTGTGTGGCCAGCTTTACATCATTACTCTGGCCTATTGTGGTTGACAGAGGTATCACTGATAACAGAGGGAGACCGGGGCATGCATACTCCAAAAACATTCTACTACACCAACTTTTTTTAGCAGGGGCGGACTGACCATTTGGAAACTCGGACACTGTCCGAGGGCCCGGGGTCAGTAGGGAGCCCCATGAGCTGCCCCTGGTACCTTTTGCATAGGCTTTTTTGAGTTTGGGCAAGGACACGGGCCCCATGATCCCCTATTGCCCGGGGGCCCCTGGTGGCAAGTTATTTTGACCATGACTACAGCACAGAGTGCTCTGAGCAACACCTACTTACTGAACTTTGTTTGGGACTAATTTTAGCAACAGACTTTACAAACACTTACATTTTGGTAAAATCATTTTTTTTTTTTTTTTTGTGGTCTGTGTCTCTTTGCCGAGATTTCCCTTAATTTCCTGTCCTGGAGACCCAGAAGGGAATATCTCTCCAAAGCAAGGAGAAGTCTCCATTTATACATCTGTCTCCACAACAGGTGTCCCCCTTGGAAGAATTCCACTCTCTTACTGTTTCTCTGTTCAAACATTTTTTTGTTTTCCTATCACTGTACCAAAGATGGTCATCAGGACCAAAAGAGAGGATGAAACTTCCCAGCAGGGACACACAAACCGCAAAAAAAAAAACTGACATACCTTCTAACCCTTCAACACACTCACTCCAAATCCTAAAGAAAAGTTGCCTTTGCATACAATTTAGGTAGAAATTGAAAAATATTAATATTTACCCAATTGTACGGTTGCAGGAAAAAAATATTGCCAAGACCATCAAACTTTTACAGCAATTATTTTAAACTTAATACAAAACAGTATATGCCATTTCAAATGCTAATTGGATGATTACATAAAAAAACTTCAACTGATTAGAGGAAGAGGACGTGCTCATGAACTAGCATACGTTGCAATATATTTGGAACAGCACCCACACAATCTGAGCAAAGTCAATAAAATTGATTATAGTTGTAGCCAGTCCCTTCTTGTTCAGTGGATTTGATGTCAGACCTTTAAACGATGATCTCATCTAGATGTGGAGTGTCCTAAACATCTACAAGTAATGTATGACTCAGATTATTGTCATAAGCACAATCAATGAGAAAATGACCATTAACCCTTTTTTCTCAAAGTAAATAGTGGCTTTTAATTTGTACAACATACTATAACAAGAACCATTACGTGGTTTTATCCCACTGTTGAATGATATCATTAAAATAAATTAAAACTGCACTGTGAACAAAGCCAGTATACAATATAAGACTTTTAGCAGACTTGACTGCTGATACATTTTCTTTTTCTCTAGATACTAAGTACCGCTCTCACTGAAAGCTAGTATCAAGTAGATGGGTTTTATTTACACCATAATGCTTGTGTTGATGTGTTGTTCTATATTGTGGTTTTTTTTTTTTTTTTTTTAAGAATTCTATTGATTTGAATAGTAAAATTGCTGCAGATGTCTCATGCTAAAAAAAAAAAAAAAAAATTCCTGAATTTTTCCTCAACTGTGGTAGAACAGTGGCTTAGTGGTTGGCACTTTGGCCATGCAGCACCGGAGTCCCCAGTTAATACCTGTTGCACACGGTACGTTTTTTTTTCATTCAACCTAGTGGGCTGAAAGGAAAAAAAAAGCTGAGGAGGTCTCTGTACTAACTATGCATTGCTAGTTCAGCAATCTCCCTGCAATGCTATTGTGTCCTCCTGAGAGGGGGGCCATCCCCTGCTAGAACACATCGGTCAGTGCTTGCAGCCATTGACTGAGAGCACTGATCAGATGCCAGAGCTAGAAAAAAAATTCTTGTTCGGTAACATAACTTCCAATTTTCATCCAATGTATACAGTAATTGTACGGAAATAATACCGCACATGCTCGGAAACAAAGAACGACCCAGAAGAAGAGGGCAATGAAAATAAAAATCATATATAAGAACTTTGTATTCTGGATCAGTAAAGAGCTACAAACGGTGAACAGTAGCATATTTTTTTCTGTGACAATAATCGAACTATGTTAGTATGCAGTTATGTTTGTCATTCAAGAATTTTTGTTTATATTCTAGTTAGTATCATTCTCATTTACATCATGATACGCAACTTCATGGAAAATCAAACAATCATTCGGCCAATTTTCTCATAGTGAGTATTAGGCTTTAGAATCCTGGTCATGACATTATCTGCATAGTTTGCATGTTTTCCCTGCATGAAGTTGGCCTTCATATGTGTATTTATGCATGTGAAATGGGGACCTTGGATTATAAGAGTGGTCTCCAAACTGTGGCCTGGGGACCAGATGTGGCCCTTTGCTTGCTGTTATCTGGCCCTTGGGACACTTTTCCTCCCACTGTCACCAATGACGGGGCAATATTCCTCCCACTGACACAAATGATGGGGCACTTTTCCTCCCACTGACCTCAGGGCATTTTCTACTACTACTGGCCCCAACCTGGCCCCCCTTAGGCCTGAAGGACCGTTAACCGACCCTTTGTTTAGAAAGTTAGGAGACCCCTGGATTATAAGCTCCTTGAGGGCAGGGACTAATGTGAATGTACTATATGGAAAGCGCTGCATAAACTGCCAGCGTTATATATAAATACCTGTAATCAATTTTTAAATAAATAAAAAGTGTAGCCACATGCATGAGAAAATAGTGATGGACCTCTGGCAGTCATTTGACCAATACCTGTGCAACCAGCTAGAATTCCTTTTTAGATGTTTAGGACCTTCACAAGTACATCATTAGGAAGACGTTTTATAAGTCCTGACCATGCTAGAGATGTTTGAAATTTTTAGAAGGAGCTTCCTGGAGAAATGTGGGAGCTGTCATTTACTGTTTAAGTTAGATGCTACAGGAACATCATCCTTATCAATCTTTAGCTGTTTCCACTGACCTGGAAGGAGTATATGCATGTAAGCTCCCATAATATGTATACCGTATATACTCGGTACTCAGTAGTTATCCAAAGACAAGAATGTTCTCTCTGGAGCATGAAATTTCAAAACCTAGCCATTGCAGGTGTCATAGTTGCATCCTGGCTAGGTGACAAAAAGGAACCTAATGCCAACAATTTACAGCAGATGCATTAAAATGCCAGCTCTGTGATCTGCCATACTAGCACTTTGAAAATTCCAGGACTTCCATTTAGAAGGCACATGTGTACACTGCCTCCACAGCACAGTGATTGGTGCCTTAGCAACCTATGACTAGGCCCACTTCTTCCCGTTTAAGAAGGAAATAAATCATAATTTCTGATCTATTTTGTCATGGTTACAAGGACATTTTTAAAATGTTGTTTTGGCAGTCAAAAAAGGAAGCTACAAATCAGAAGATTGTAGCATAACCACATAAAGTAAGGTATACAATTGAGGAGCTATTAAACCTTTTAAGGTGCGTTTTTACACCATATAAGTGGGGCTGCATTGATCTGCATAGTTCACATCATATGTGCAGTGGTGCATGCTGCTTAAAAAAAGCAGCATGTCTGCATTTTTACTCGGTATAACCCACTGCACCACATGTCATCATAGTCTATGCATGATGCCATGCATAGAGTTGAATGAAATGTAATATTGTGACATTTCCATAAAGTTTGAAGATAAATTCCATATGGCTATATTATACACATTTACATTTGCCAGCTTGGACCAATGTTTTTACCATACCTGGTTTATGCCGTTGGATGCTAGAAATCTCTGAAGTAGACACCGCTACTCCAGTGATCTCCATTTGCTCCACCCATGCTGAAGGTTGGCCTGAGTCAATCTGAACACAGGAGGCCAGCCCTTTGGCACAGGCACCATTCAGAAAGGTGGAGAGAATGACGTCATTGCCCTGCCTCTCTGGCTTGTCAAAGGATGCTTTGCATTCATTCAAGAAAAGCTTAGCATATTTTGAATGACACCTGTGCTCAATGGCTGACCTGTGCTCAGGAGTGCCACCGCTGGGAGCAGGACTGGGAAGCAAGTGGAGATCACTGGAGTAGGGATGTTTACTTCAGTGATTTCCAGTTTTCATGGTATATGAGTACAGTATCAGAGAGCCATGCCTGAAATTATTCTTAAAAAATAAATAAATAAAAGTGGTAAATAGTTCCTTGTGTTAACACAGCCCCTCACTGCCCATACACAATGGATCCCAGCCCACATGCATTTTAGCATGTGGGCTTTTGTGAAACTGCCCTTGCAAAAATGGGATTCAGTCTTGTGCTAAGGAAATGAATATCAACCAACAGAACAAGAGACTTTTTTTACTTGGGTTTTGGTGACAAATTTTCATGTGGATAGGTTGTGTGTGAGCAAGTTTCAATCAAACCTGTGAAAGGCAAAGCAACAGATTAAGCAGGTTAGCCCCAATAATGTGTATACTATGTCTGGATGGCTGCTGCTTGGTGTAAGATTTCTACCTTGCTAAAAGCCAGTTCCTACACATAGCACTGTTTGTCCAGATGCTGCTGGGTTGAGAGCAGTGGCTGCGGCATGGCAAGTTGCATCCCTGCCTCCTCTCTTCTTATCCACACAGGGTCTTGTGAATGGAGGAGAAGAAATGATGTCGCATACAAACCCCTCTCCTCCTCCATTTTCATAGCACCTTGTATTCTATGCTGTCCTCCAGGAATGATGAGTTTGAGCATCTGTCACTATTGCCTCTCCTGCCACTACTATCTCCACTGCTAGTTCTTCCAGATCTTACGGCAACCCTCTTCATCCATTGGGCAGCCAATGATGATGTAACTCCTGTATATATGCCTGTGACCCTGCAACACCTGGCTCATGCTGAGAATGAGCCAAGAATGTACACTGCATGGGTCATACACAGGGGTGGACTGACAACTCATGGGGCCCCCGGGCAATAGGGGATCATGGGGCCCCTGTGTCCTTGCCCACACCCAAAAAAGCCTATGAAAAAAGCCAATGAAAGGTACCAGGGACATCACATGGGGCCCCCTACTGACCTCGGGCAGTGCCCAATTGCTCGAATGGTCAGTCCGCCCCTGGTCATACAGTATACATATAAAATAAAAAATCGTTAGGGGAAAGAGGAAGGAATGTTTTGGCAGAAGAAACTTTGCATGTCTCTGACAAAAATCCCTACGTCCTAGCATTTTTTAAATTCCCTTTTAAGACTCTTGTAGCCTAATAGCAATGCCAGGTTGGTTCCTTTACTATCATTATCCAGTTGTGGACAGTGAATGTTTTAAGCCAGCCACACATGGATCAGCAGAGACTTGGCGAATTTTGATTCATGTATTGGCACCCTGGCTGTACAGAAGTTGATCTACTGACTGACTTCTGTACAATCAGCTTTTTGGACTTTGCCTGATCAATCAGTGCCACTGGCTATAGCCAGCAGCCCTGATCAGTGTATTCTGATGGCGGGGAAGTCCTCCCACCACCAGAATACAATAACCTAGCGGGAGTGATTCCCATATCCACATTGAATGTGCACATGTGGGAATCAGATCTTTTTTTTTTATTTGTTCAATCCACTGGTTGAATGAAAAAAATATGATTTATGTATGGGCTGCTTTACTCATGCCCCTAAAAGCATTACAAAAAAATACAGTGTGTGTGTAGTACATCCTTTTCTTCTGCTCCTCTGCCGCATACCCCCTGCCCTTCTTCATTGGCAAAAATGACAGTCAGGAGTTGCTGTGTAAATTCAGCAGCTGTAGCAGTAATTATTTTTCAAGCTAACACTGGTCAAAGTAGAAAAAAAAAATGTTTGTACAAAAAATGTCTGTGTGGTGCCCATTGAAGTCCACCTGTCTTGCCATTTCAGGTATGCATATTTAGGTCCATATCAAAAATGTACAAATTGCTCTAGTCCATAGGTGATGTACAGGTGTGAGAAATAAAGTAGTTCAGTGGAACAGATCTTGGGGGATATGTGTTTTTATAGCTATGGACATTTTTGTTCACACCAGGAAAAATCCATAGTTACTCCTGCAGTGACACCCCTCCTTTACTAGGGGGGGGGGGCGGGTTATATACTAAATTTTGTCCTTATGTCCTTTTGTGCTTACCTTTTATGCCTCACTCCCATAGACTTCCTTTGCCCCCCCCCCACCCCCCCAAAGTCCTTTTTCCTTTGCTGCTTAATCTGTCACAGGTACTTGAGTAGGAGAGGATCTATGAGTGGTGGAAGGAAGGCTGTCAACATGTTAACATGTTAAACAGCACAGTGATAATTTTCTAGAATTGCTAGGCTGATTTTTAGTTTTCAAGGCAGCCTGATGGTACCTGGTGCAAATATGTTTGTCTCAAATATATACTGTTCTACTTTAAAGTACAACTAAAGGCAAACTTTTTGAATAGAGCGAAGAGGGATTAGAACCCCTGTCAGGTTTTATTGAAGTCTGTCCCTCCGTTAGGAATTTTCACCCTCTCTATTAATCCTGTTTACCATTATCCTTGAAAGTGAAATTAAAAGAAAATCCCAAATTTAGGGTTGTCCCTGAAAAAGTAATAAAGGGGAAGCTTCCACTGAGGACTAGTTCTGGTGACCTGGGGGTCCCCAAGGGATTCCCTTTAATATGCAGGGATTTCCTCTCATTTCCCATTTTAGCTATGGGGCAGAAAGTGAAGGAAAATCTCCCCAATTGGACATGGCATAAAATCAACTGACAGGGCTTATAACCCTCCCTTACTCTATCCGAAATGGTGGGGGGGGGGGGGGGGAGTTTTGCTTGTACTACTAATTTAAGTTTAGCATGTAAGTAAGCTAAGCAGGTATCGTTCTCCAAGTGCAGAGTACAAATATAGCTGCCAAATGTTCCACGAAGCCTTTTTACAGTCATTATTGGCAGCAAGACCCATGTTTCACCAGCCAGGTGCCAACCCTAACAGAGTATGGTTTTTGTCTTGACCACACTGTTCACTTTGACAGCTTGTTGGTAGCTACATTCCAGCAATATGCACTTCTTGCATCACCTTCTTTCTGCTGCATGTGGTGCAATATAGGAGTGCACCCTATAGTACCATAGGAGAAGCAGTGTAAATTGACTAATTTAGCTTGGTAATTACAGTAATCAGCAACCTGCCCAAGTGAGAACTCAATTGTCAAGCAAATGGATGCTTATATTGTTGTTTCTGTAGCTTTTCTAGCTATTCAAAAATGAATCATTAGCTGTAGAAAAAGAGTAGGTGTACATCCATTATTATAGATATTATTGCAGATGCCCACATGCAGTGCAAAAAAGAACAGAAAAATAACAGAAGCTAGTGCCTATTACTCCTTGCCCAGCCTCCTTTCACCACCCTTGGATTTTTTCATAAGTTGAAAGACCATACCAAAAAAGACATTTCTTAGACTTGGGAAATAAGGAAGAAAGGTCTTGAAGCCAAATTGCTTATTATTGAAGCCAAATTGCTCTTTTGTTCCATAATTGTAACTCCATCCATAACTTTTTTTTTTTTTTTTTTTTTTTTTTTTTTTTACTTTTTGGACATTGGATTATAAAAAGTCACTTTTTATTGTTTTCAGATATGTCTCCCAGTGTGGTAGTCACGAAGATGTACAGTGAGGGTAAATCCCTCCAGTGGAGATGCAAACAGTAAAAACCTGGCAGGTGTAATCTTTCCATACTTTTTACTCTAAAATGGGGGGGGAAAGTTGTGGTGTGTGTTTTTTTTTTTTTTTTTTTTTTTTTTTTCCCCCCCATCCAGCTTGAGCTAAAACTGAATTAACTGGAACCCCAGGCCTAATGATTGAAGTTCTTGACTCTTAACTTTTCTCAAGAAGTCAAGCCATTGCACAATGTGTTCCCAATACAGAACAGGATTGAATCTATGTTCCTCATTAGGAGTGCTAACTGCATAGCAGATTGCAAGGATTCCTGAAGTAGCTAGGCGATTTGGGAATCTCCATATATTGGAGTCCCCTTTTTGGTGTAAAGCTTTGGATTTAAAAAGATGGGGGTGTGATCAGAGATCACTAATGTATGCACATTTAGGTGCAGGGATATATGATCTGATAGAAATCTGCTGGGGGGGGGGGGGGGGGGGGGGGGTTGTTTGATAAAGAGTCCTCACCAAGATTCCTTACTGGAATAAAATTACTTGCCCACAATTTTATCTACTCTTAGGTCAGAAAGATCCCAAGTTGTAAATAGTTTTGGCAGAAATTTGGTAGTATATGTAGTGTTAGCTCTGCAGGGGCCACTTGATAATGCCTGTCTCCAGTGGTTGCCTTGACCTTGCAAGCCTCCCGACACCTCTGACCCTCTGGGTTCAGACATATTTTAACAGTATAGGATAATAATGCAAGAGACACAATTTTTTTTAGGAACATCTCTATATTAGTTTTGTTCAAAAGAGTAGACCACAAGAATAATTAGTTTAGGATATACAACTCCAGTTAACACATAAAAATAGAACACTGGTAAAATAGGAATAACCATTTAACCGATTCTCGTCCACCCTATAGCAGAAGTACTGCTACAGGGGCGACAAGGGTGCACAAAATTACGTGTATATGTATGTACGTGTGTGTGTACATATGTATGTGTGTGTGTATGTATATATATATGTGTATATATGTATGTATATATATAATGTAATGTATGTATTTTCATTTCCGGGTAAGGGGAGCGTGCATTACCCATGCTGCAATTCACCCGGTGATTACTCGCTGGTGCCCAGTGATTGTCGAGCATCACCGACGGGGGGGAGAACTGTTTGTAAATCAGTTCTCTGCCCTGTCAGCTCCTGCACACTGCTTTGCATGGCTGTGCACAGCACAGCCAAGCAACACAGTGTGCTTACAGTGAAGCACACAGACACAGCCCCTAGTAAAACTGCACACAGTTAACCCTTTGATCACCCCACATGTTTAACCCTTCCTGCCCAGTGCCATTAGTACAGTGTCCGTGCTTTTTATCAGCACAATTCACTGTATTGGTGTCACTGGGGAAGTCAGTGACACAGTCATTTCCCCCCAGTGTCAGAATGCCCGCCGCAGTCCCGCTATAAGTTAATGAATGTTGCTATTGCTAGTGAAAAAAAAAAATAAAAATCCTAGTGTGTATATATACCGCCATTTTGTAAACACTATAACATTCACGTAAACCAATTTACACGTATTGGGATTTTTTTTTTTTTTTTTAGCAAAGACAGCAGAATATATTTTGGCCTAAACTTATAATGAAATTAGATTTTTTTTTTTCCATTTTTTTTTACTGGACATGTTTAATAGCAAAAAGTCAAAAATGTATTTTTTTTCCCAAAACTATTGGAGATTTTTTTTATAGCGCAAAAAATAAAAAACGCAGAGGTAATCAAGAACCATAGAAAACTCTATTTGTGGGGAAAAAAAGGACGTACATTTCATTTGAGTGCAGCTTTGCATGACCGCACAATTGTCAGTTAAATTAACGCAGCGTCGTAACGCAAAAAATGGCCTGGTCAGTCAGAAAGGGGGGTAAATCCTCTGGAGGGCAAGTGGTTAACAACATTTAACAAAATAGAAGTATTAAGCTTCAACTATTAAACTGCTTGTTGACTTGTCAGCTCCCTCCAGGCCTCCGGTGTCACAATGGTGGAGAATTCTGGAAATGTATACTCCGACATCAATGGATATAAGTATCCTAATTTTAATAATAGTGGTCTTATAGAGAAGAGGTCCCTTTAACTAGAGATTGCAACTTGAGTCCTGTGATGTTCAAAGTTCCTGATATGGTGGTGTCCATGGTCTTCTACTAGCAATGGTGGAGCCCATAAAGAGTAAATACTGGTAATTCATTGAAGCTAAACAGACTGTGGTACTGTTCAAAGCAAAGATCTCCTGATGCTGAGCTGTAAAGGTGTCTGCATACAGTGTCTCTAGAGTGATGACAGAGGTTGGGTATCTGCCAAACTCACCAATCCCATGGATAGCATGGTCTGTCAGTGCAGCGAGCAGAGATGTCTGTGTGAAGACCGGACAGTGACTGTCCCGATGCTGATGTAATCCTGGTGTGATGATCGTTGTCACTGCTGTGCTAAACTGATGTGCAGAGTCCCACAGCAGTAGGCCAGCAATCTGTCTC